AAAAGGGACTTTGATTATACATACACTGTGTAGTACATACAAGACAGTCTATGAAGACAGTACGTTAGAATTCCATCCCGAACATACCGCCCCTTTTCCTCTCGTTCTCCCTCCGAACTGACCAATCATCTTCCACGCTCTCTGACAGCTGACCAATCAGAGAAGGTCTTGCGTTCTGCTGCGAGCTTTATATTTCCGGTGCTGCTTCAGGAACGTAAACTATTCAACATGGAGACGGTTGATAAGCTGGAGGCGATGGTAAGCTGTTTGTTTTTTTTCCAGCGAAACATTTCCATCAAATGTTTTCAAGTGTAAACCGATCGTTTGCGTCTAACTGTTACTAACACAGGTGCCTTTACTATAGACAACATAATGTAGAAGAAACACGAAGAATTACGTGTTCTGTGTTTGCCCCTGACTTTCCCTGAGGTTGGAGGGGAGAAAATCACGAAAAATATGTAGCTGGATGGCTAACTATTGCCGCTGCTAATGTCTTTAGTCATTTATATTTACAGCGAAAATCAGCCGTAATATGATTAATTTACTATAATGTGCATATTTTGAATCAAAACCATGGCATTCATTCCGAAAAGTGTTAATTTGGCTCGATAGCTGCTGTGTGAATCGCTGATCGGCGGTGAGGGGACTGCGGGTGCGGGAGGGCCTGTGCGTGTGTCCGCTGCATCCCGAGTCCTTATACCTTATTCCATAAGATATTTAAATATGCGTAAACACTATGGGTTTATATACACATCAAGTTATTGTAGCAATTGTTATTAACTGATAACAATTTATATAAAATATGTCCATTGCTTCTGGAAGACGCACAGTCCTCTTCGTAGAAGTTTAGCTTTTGAAGACTCTGATCAATTGTATGCCTGCATTCTCTCATGAAAACTATATTGGTATTCTGTTTAAGTAAAACCATAATAACATGCATTAATATTTTTTTTCATGAGTTCAAATATCATTAGGAATTAGAGATGATAGGGGGCGCAGTGCTGCTCTTTGTAGCGAAATAACATTAGTAACTTTACTTCACTGCCAGTGTCAGAAGTGCCATATAATAAAAATTTTATATAATTAAATTAAATAATGTAAAAAAGCTATAATGAACAAAATACCATAACAAGCACTTGCTTTTTAAATTATTGCCATTATTATGAACCATCTACATATCTGTATCTCAGCACTATTATGTTTTAATGTTTATGTGACAACTGTGTTTTTCTTCCCAGGCTTTTTGTTGACATTATTTACATGATTGGATATTTCAGCATGCAAATGGACCGGCCTGAATGCGTACCGTCTGTCCAGTGCCCCTTTTATATTGTACTACTGATAACCCAGTTATTAAAGCAGTGCAATGTTAAAAGGGCATTGGCCAGCGATTTTTCTCAAAGGTAGGGTCAACCGCGTGGCCAGCCATATCAAGTGCTGTTAACAGGTGCTCTGACTTCATTGCACTACTGTATTGGACAGCTAGCAGTGCAATAGTATTGTCAAAGCGTCTGAGAGCAGCTTTGCACAATGTTTGAAGTTTTCAAAGAGGTTCACCATCTCATTTGGCATATTGTTGTTTGTTTTCTCTGTTTTACAGGTCATAATGTCTAATCCTAATTCTTGGGACCCTATCAGTATTGCCTCTGCTGTCCATTGTGTTCAGAGTAGTGCAATATTGCTAATAGGGTTTCAGGTTTTAGGTTGTACCCTCATTCAGATGGGCCACTAAATACCAAAGTGTACAAACAGCAAACAACTCCCGAATTAAATCCTCTGAATGCTTAAGAATTATGATGTTTAGATCTGTGTCCTTGTAGTTCCAGAAAGCAGAAGCTGATATAGAATATGTGGAAAAGCGGCTGAAATTCGACTTCATGGCCAATGCTCGAGAAGCGGGCACGTTTGAGGTACATTCGTATTCATTTGTTAATTTTAAATACTGACTAAAGTCTGTGTTTCTAAATCTGTGGTTGTGGATTTCAGGGAAACCCTGTTCAGTTGCTGGAGAACTTGTCGGCGATCAAAGCGCGGCATGCGGCCCTGTGCGCACAGGTGGAGGAGATCGCGGTGGAACAGAAACGATCCATGGACTCACTACGAGCTCACCTGGACACCACAGTGCAGATGGTTCAACAGCTGCAGAACACAGCAGATATGCAGGTATTCGTTCAGTTGTGCAACAACAGCCCATATCTATCAAACCAAAGGGTCCATGTCAATTTTACTACACCACAGGCCATACACAATTATTTTACCATGGTTAAGGAGTGGTCTTTGGAAAAAATAAAGTAGTTTCATGAGGTTTTTGGGTTCGGACTATATGTGTGCTAATGGGAAATCTTGTGTTCAAGGTTCCGCCACTGACAGAAGAAGAACAAGAAGCGAGAGATGTTCTCTGCTCATCCGTTGCTGCGTTAAATGTAGAGGTTAGACATATTTTGTAATGCTTTTTATTACCATAATTACACAACTACACTACCGTTTAAATGAACACTCCACTATTTTGGAAAATAGGCAATAGTCCCCAGCTAGGTAACTTCCAATAAGCCTATTTTCAGGCGCTGCATAATATCATTGCGCCTGCTGCACCCATGGTACGGCAGCAAAGTTCCTTGATTATTACGCCGGAATGAGAGTATAGTTCCTAGCCATATCAGCCTAGAAAATCGCAACTTCATTTTCCATTGGTCTTAGTACACGATGTAACTACAAAAGAGTCAAGTTTTAAATAGGAAAAATATAGAAACTCTTTGGTCATTTTTGAGCGAGATGCTAACGGTCTAATCGGATTCAATGATCTATGCTAAGCTACAGCTAAAAGTGCTACCGCCACTATTTAATTTAATTTAAATTTAAATTAATTTTAAGTTTGTATGCATACCAAGGGCTTATTTATTTGTTAAAATACAACATAAATATTATTACAATTTAAAATAACTTTTTTAATTTAATAAATTATGAAATCTTAATATATTCCTGAATTTTCAGCATCATTACTCCAGTCTTCAGTGTCACATGATCCTTCAGAACTCATTCTAATATGCTGATTTGTTTATCAATTTTGAAAATTTATTCCGCTAAATATTTTTGTGGAAACTGTGATACTTTTTTTTTTTTTCAGAATTCTTTGAATAGTTCAAAAGAACAGCATTTTTTAAACATGCAAATACTTTCTAATATTATAAATGTCTCGACTGTCACTTGATCAATTTAATGCATCCTTGTTCAATAAAAGTGTTAATTTCTTTAAAAAAAGAAAAAAAATTACTGACCTTAATTTTTAAACGGCAGTGCATGTACCTGTTAAAATTTAATTATTTGTGACGTTTTAAGGGAAAAGCTACTTTGAGTTAGTGATTGTGTTTGTTTCTTTAGGCCGTGCTGACAGAAGAACCTCAAACTCAAGCACAGTCTGAATGTAAGGACAAAAGAAAACTATCAACATAAGGCAGTTGTAACATTGGCACAATTTCAAAGGTCATCAGCATCTTTCAATATCAACAATTATATTGTTTTTTTTTCCTCCCTTGCAGCACAGAATGTGCGTGAAGAGATGCCTGAGGGGACATTTGAAACTGTCCCGCGGAATGTACGTGGTAACTTGAAGCTGAATGACCTCAACACGCTCTATAAGCAGTTATCCGAGTACTTCTCAGATAAGAACAGGTTTGTCTGGTCATATTTATGCAAAAACATCACCTTTAACCCCGAGTCCTAACGTGATTGATAATGCACTGTAACTTCAGACAACTACATGGTTTTATTTCTACAAAGACGAGTGTTTACTAATACATTTGATCTAAATATTTTCATTCTTGTCTCTTCAGGGGGCCAATAAGCACTCAGAGGATGAAGAAGCTGAACATGAAAGTTAGTGATTCTGCATTGAAGACCTTACAGCACCTTAAACTCATTGAGCTGGATAAAAAAGGACTTGTGTCATTGCTGGCAAAAGACTGAGAAACAGGGACCAATTAGACGCACAAACCCAACCAAAATGTGTAAATCCTCCAGTTCCTTCCACCTGTGTGCTAAAGTAAAACCCTAAAAAAAGTTTAGAACAGGAATGACAGTGGACTTGAAAACATTTCAAAAACATTGCGTCCGTGAAGTTCAGTATATCCATTAATCAGGATTGCATACATTTAAAAGAAAATAATCTTATCAGTCTTTTTAAGGACTACACTTATTTTTTCCTGTTATTTTTCTGTCCTGTTTCCTCTGCATAATGTTATTCAGCCATTATTAAACTATATCATGACCTGTTGTGGCATCATTAGATTTGTATAAGAAAGAAACTGTACAGCGTAAGAGTTTATATTTTTTGTAAAGGGAAACAGGTGTTTATGTAATTTCAGATCTCAGTGAAGCAGAGGAGACTGTATTTCAATGTAAGATTCAGTGTATTCACTTTTTTTTAGGCTACGGTCGTAATTACTTTGAGTATGCAATAAAATGTCTTTTATATTTATATATATGGAAAAGAGAGGACAGAAAAGGAGAGTGTGTAGAGGGAAGAGCAAAAATGTACTTAAGTGCCTTGGCGATTTCGTTGCTCGGTGAAGTCGCGCAGGTAAAGTCGCAGGTCTTTACACTCGTTGGTTTTCACACAAGGAGGCCTGAACGCTTCCGCTGATGCTTCCGCGTACTCACGTGCAGCCGTCTGTCTCTTCTGTTGACTAATCGCTTGACCCGACCCATATATATATGGGTCCTTTATTTAAAAGCTACTGAATACAACAAGACACTGGCAATACATTTCTGTAGCAACAACATCAGAACCCCAAATGGAATTTAAAACATAAAAATGATTACATCTATTTATTAAGGTCAATAGTAACATCAAAGCTCAAATTGTTGATGTACATAAGTTTGAAGGTTAAGTTTTTTTTATTTGGAACATTTTCTTTCATTAAACAGTAAATTAAACAAAGGAACACAAACCACATGACTTAAGCATCTAAAATGGAAACGATTCAGATGCAAAACATCAGGATCGGCTCATCTTTAACGGTGCAGATTGACTGACTCTGGAACTGTCTGCTCAAGAACTCTGCTAATAACAAATAGTAATGAAATGACAAAAATAAATTGTGGAGCATTTTCAACCAGGAAAGCCAGCAGGATTTTGAAACTAGTTTTTAATTAGTAATTTATCTGTAAAAGGTTTCATTTCTGTTGGTAATATCTATACTGCTAATATAAGCAATAGGATATACACTAGCACTGTATTCCAAAGGTCAAATGCATTTTATTCTAGGCTTCTTGTGCACCTGTTAGGATGGTTCTCCTGATCAGCTGCCTCAATCTTCTCTCCCAGCTCGTTTATACATTCTACAGAAAGAAAACGCATGGGGCTTCATCCAGTTAAACACGTTATTGGGCTTTTGAGCTTGTATACTAACCCATGAAAGGCGGCAAGAAAAAGACTTTCCACGTACCTGATGTCTCTATGTAGTCCCCTTCTGGACAACCCAAGTCCTCTTTCACATCCCCATCTCCTTTTATGTCAGACTGAGACACGCTAGACCAAGTACAGCTTAATGTTTAACATAATTTAAAGGGATAGTTCACCCAAAAATTTAAATTCTGCCATAAATTACTCACCCTCATGTCGTCCCAACCCCGTAAGACCTTCGTTCATCTTCGGAACACAAATTAAGATATTTTTGATGAAATCCTAGAGCTTTCTGACCCTGCATAGACAGCAAGGGAACTACCACATTCAAGGCCCAGAAAGGTAGTAAGGACATCGTTAAAGTAGTCCATGTGACATCAGTGGGTCAACCGTAATTTAATGAAGCTACGAGAATACTTTTTGTGGTTTTTATACTTTATTTAACAATTTCTTCTCTTCCATGCCAGTTTTTGACGCGCATTCACAACAATACCACAAGGCATGCGTGTGCATTCCTCTGCTTGCAAACAAGCCACAGGGCATGCAGGTTCTACATCAGAACGCTGGCTCCTGCGTCAGCAGCATCACACATGCGTGTCATGAACGCACGTCAAAGACTGACAGGGAAGAAAAGAAATTGTTGAATCAAGTCGTTATTTTTGTTTTCTTTGCACACAAAAAGTATTCTCGTAGCTTCATAACATTACGGTTGAACCACTGATGTCACATTAACTTTTTTAACGATGTCCTTACTACCTTTCTGGGCCTTGAACGTGGTAGTTACCTTGCTGTCTATGCAGGGTCAGAAAGCTCTTGGATTTCATCAAAAATATCTTAATTTGTGTTCCAAAGATGAACGAAGGTCTTACTGTTGGAACGACATGAGGGTGAGTAATTAATGGCAGAATTCTTTTGGGTGAACTATCCCTTTAAGAGTAAAATATCATTCGGAAGACATATTTAGTCCTATTTATAAAAATCCAGACACTTCCAAGCTGATTTTTGAGACAGTCTGTTTGCATAGAAAAACATGGAGCTTCAACACTCACAAGGACCCTGAGTCTCTAGGGGTTCTCTGCTCTGTGGCTCTTTCCAAAAGCATTCTCTGTAGATCCTCATCAAGGGTGAAGCTTACCCTGCAAGATTGGATATGCCAATTCAAAGTAGAAGCAAATTCATTTTAGTTTTAGGAGAGGAAAATAAACAAATAATAGAACCTACTAGGGGTGGGCGATATGGCAAAAATTTCATATCCCGATTCACGATTTTATCCCGATTCTTCGTCATTTTGGTTTTTACCATTTTGCAAGTGTAGTACAGCTAAACTAATTTCCCTTTTAGTACTACAGTCTGCTGTCACTGCACGCATCTAATATACAACAACACATCCGATTTTCTCTCAACTGTTTACTTTCACTGACATAACCAGCTGTGTTTATATGTAAACCTTGTGTCTTTTTGACAGCAATATTTTTTTTGCGCAATCAGACATGAATGATAACTTAGTCCAGTAATCAGGCGCTGTTTGACAGGCTTTTTAGTGTGTGTGCGCCTCAGGTATATGCGCTCGGAAAAAGCACATGTCAGAACAGCACGCAAATGAAATGTTTAACCGGCAAGGCTTTAAAGCACATGCAAATAATTTACTTTTGTGATTGCGAATAAGTGCGGAGTCCCGTGACTGTAACTCTAACGCTGAGTTAACTTTTGATGTGAATGTATGTCGCGTTGTTCAGTATATTGAGACAGAGGAGCCAGAACTGCAACTGATAATATGTGCGCTGTAGCACGGTACTACAATATTTCTTCAAAAGCAGATCGTGAAGACATTTGTCCACGATCAAAAATCGTGATATCGCACATCCCTAGAACCTACTAACCTAGATCTAAAAAAGTGAACAAATTATTCAATTAAAATACATAAATACCCACCCCATAAAATCCTTACTGCTGTAAGACGGTAGACTATTCTAAATTTTAATAGTCACCATGACAATTCATATTTTTTTAATGGAATTTTGTATTATGTATTACCAATAATTTATGCATAAATGTTTTTTTTTTTAATTCATGTGCTCATAATCTTTAATCAAATACAGTAATGTTTTTTTTTTCTTGTTCAAGAAGTCATTTAACACTGATATGTCACTTTTTTCTTTTTTTGTCATCACGGTGCCATAAAATTTATAACCAGTAAAGTAAATCCCTTTACTAAGGCAAAGTATTGGGGGTTTTACCTCTCCGTTTCATCAAGGCTATGACTCCGCAAGTTTGCATTACTATCCATATCAGCAGGGTTGACATCTGGATGCTGGTCTGAAAATACAGAAGCACATTACTTCAATTCCTCATTTAAAATAAAAACCGCCCTACTGTAGATCTGTCTTACCATGTATCTGACATGGGTTTTCACCCTCACACCCTTCCATCCTCTCTGCATTGTTTTCATCTTCAAACACCTTTTCATCAGCGGACTCTTGCTCACATTGATGTTCAGAATCTGACGGGCCATCACCTACCTCCTGTCCCTCCTCATCCACATCAGTATTCTCTGCAGGAAACACAAGCAAACAGTTTGATTCTCACATCATGGCAAATACATCCCATAATTAAGTTCAGTTTTAGAAAACTACTGCAGTGAATAATAAAGTGTCATACCAATAGGAAGCTCTATCTCTTCACTGGTCCCCTGGCTGGTCTCAGTGGTCTGTCTAGCTCCAGAGCTGGCAGTGGTGAATTCTGCATTACCGCTGGAGGGAGAGTCTATTTCCTCCCTTCCATCCTTAGAGATGTTGATTAACACTGGAGACTGCAGGATGCTGGACACAGAGGCATTTGTCTGAAAAGAGAAGCAGGATATCAATATAAGTGTTAGCTGTGATTATATTGATACAAAAATAAGATAATGGTACATTTACTTTTATCAGATGAAAGCTTCTACAACAAAACAACAACAAGCATTTGTATGTAATATAAAGAAATTGTCTTTTCTTTGAAATTGAAAAAGTTTGGCGTGAAGTCAATTTGCATAAAACACATTACAACAATATTGAAGATACTTGAATGCTAGAGTGTGCCATCATATTATCCCAGTAGTAAAGATGACATTTAAAAGCACATATTAGAAATCAAGAGATGCACTGATTTAAATTTTGGTCAATAACTCATAATTAATAATATGTCTGGAATATAGGTAAAAGATATAAAAAAACACCCACCTTATAAGTCTAAATTGTATATATATATATATATATATATATACACACACACACACACACACACACAGTGGGTATAGAAAAGAATCATCCCCCTTTAAAGTAATTTTGTTGCTCTGCAGCCTGAAATGAAGACAGACCGTTTTTGTTTTATCCAGCTGCATTTACTCAGTGCATTATTATAACTATTTTACATATAAAATCGTTATAATAAATAATAAGTTAATAAAAATAATAAATTAAGTTATACATTACTATTATAGGGGGACCAAACCTGCAGAAATGATAGATAGATAGATAGATAGATAGATAGATAGATAGAAAATAAATAAAGGAATAAATTACTTGATAAAACAAAATTAATTAAATTATTGTTAAATTAATTTTTACTATTACTTTTCCTTTATTAATAATTTTGTGTATTTATTTGTAACTTTATTTTTTATTATTTTTAACTTATTATTAACTTAAACTTACTGTTCTTTTTAATTCTTCATTTTAACATATATCCAAAATTCTTTTGTACAGTAAAAGTTAAAAATTACACAAATATAACAAAGATTACAAAATAGATTACAAAAAAGATTACAATAGAAACAAAATGCCTGTGTACTCTGGACAAAAAAAATCTTACAGGCTCTAAGTAGACGTTTTATATTTAACATTATTTAGGGCAACTGGTATAAATAATCTGGGGTGTTTATTTGAGCATAGATTGTCAGCTTAAATATATCTGTTTATTTTACTTATTGGACTGATACGTAAAACATAAAAAGTCATATTTATTGGCTGATACTGATACGATTGTAGAAATATATTATTCCAAATATAATGATTCATTGACTGACAGTGCTGCTGTCTCCTGCGCTGGCTGTGGCGTAACTCTCTGTGCAGACAGTATGGGATGGAGCACTGCCCCATGGTGACGAGTCCAACAGGCTCTGGAGGTGAGGGAGGGGTTCAGTTCCAACCTGCACATATTGAATGTGTGTCCTATGGCCTGTAATTAAACAGTGTTCACAATTAGACAAAACTGACCCACACAACATATTCTGAATCTTGATTTATGTTTACATTTTTCTGATTCACTTTGTACCTTTTGGGCTGCGTGGGGTGCTGTTACAAGGTGGATGTCCTCTGCTGAGAGGGATGGGTGGGGCTTCAGCTGACTCCACCCATTCTTGGTGATGGGCTGGTGAACAGGATATGGTGGAGTGGTCTGCAATCTCAGCCAGGTCTGGCAAACAACTGATCGAACAAAATGACCAAAACACGGAGCACAGACTCAGCCAAAGGTAGTTGTAATTTTTAATGACAAATGACCCATGCATTTAACGAAAGTGACAAAATACACCACCGTTTAATAGTTTGGGGTCATTAAGATATTTTAAAAAGTAATTTATTCATGTGATGGCAAAGCTAAATATTCAGCATCATTACTCCAGTCCTCAGTGTCACATGATCCTTCGGAAATCATTCTAATATGCTGATTTGCTGCTCAAGAAACATTTCTCATTATTATCAATGTTGAAAACAATTGTGCTGCTTAAAATTTTTGTAAAAACCGTGATACATTTTTGGGGATTCTTTGATCAATACAAAGTGCAAAAGCACAGCGTTAATTTTAAATAGGAATTTTTAGTAACATTATAAATGTCTTTACTTAACAAAAATAAAAATCAAATAAACCTTTTGTTACTATTATATTACTATTGACTATATTATTGACTACTATTATAATTTAATTTATGCATTTAGCAGACGCTTTTATCCAAAGCAACTTACAGTGCATTCAGGCTATACATTTTTTACCAGTATGTGTGTTCCCTGGGAATTGAACCCATGACCTTTTGCGCTGCTATACCACTGAGCCACAGGAGCACTATTATAAATATTAAAAACTGACAAAAGCAAAGAAAAGTACAAAAAATTAATCATTTAAAACAAAACTGAAAATATAAAGTAAAAGCTAATTCAAAATATTAATAAAAACTATACAGAATATAAATAATACTAAAATAACACTGCCGATCTCAACATTTTTAACTTGGTGTAGAGTTAATAAAAAAAGAACATTGTTGTTACATTAAACTAAATTTTATCAGCCTTTACTGAGTTTTGTGTGAGATACTTTATTTCTTGTACCTGATGGTAGGAATGCACCTGTGCACAGGGGTAATAGATTCTGAATCCTTTGAGTCCTCTTGAGCAAGATGGTATTCTAGATAACAATAAGGGTGACATAAAGGTTATAAAAAAGAACAAATGTTACCCACAAAGCTAGCAATACAATGAGTGCAGGCTGTTTTGAACTACATACCACTCAGACTGTTTTCAACAGCCTGTTTTCCCTCTGCTGGGGATGAGCTGGGTCGACACACCTCCACTGTGACGTCCAACTCATCCTCTGACTGAGAAATAAAGGGAGGGGGAATTATACCTCCTTTATTCTTCAAGGCATATGCCTAAGCTTCTGATTTTATTGTGTTATTTAAAGAGTGTCCTATAAAAATAACTAAAATAGTCTATTTTCACCTGAGAACGCTCTTCACCAGATGATGCGCAGTTGGACAGGTAGTGTTTGGGTGTGTAGAACATGCTAGATTGCTGTGTCTGTGTACAGTCTGCACCATCTGAACTTCCCTCGTCCTTGTGACACAACATACATTAAAGTGTACATATTTAGCATTTTTATAGCATTTTGTTCTAGAAGTTCACCTATAATGTTAATCAAGGTTTAAGTCATACAACAATCATGATTTAATGTGAAAAAACATTAATTAACTGGTACAAAACAAATATAAATAAAGGTCACAGTTTATCACCTCTGTTTGGCTTGTAGCCTCCAGCACACCATTGGTCACATCAAAAGTGTGATTGATAGTGTGGTAATTTGTGCTCTCCTCACTATCACTCTGAATACCTGGCATTAGATAGCATTTAAACATATTTATTTGCATATATTTACATAATTATTTTAAATTATTAAAAAAAAAAAAAAGTTTTGGAATTTAATACTGAATTTAACCTAAATAAAACACTAAATGAAATTTCTGTCATCATTTACTCACCCTTAAGTTCCAAATTCCAAACCTGTACGAGTTTCTTTATCCGGTTGAAAACAAAAGAAAATATTTTAAAGAATGCGGGTAACCACACAGTTGAGCTGAACAGCATGAGAGTCAGTAAATGATGACAAAATCTTAATTTTTAGGTGAACTATCCCTTTAACAGCAATTTCAGGCACAGCTCTATTACCGGCAAAACTCTTGAATAGTTGCTCCAGATCAGTGCTTTCCTGGGTCCCAGATTCCTGGTAGCTGTTCACACTATGTCTGTCCTGTAGGTGGAGCTGTTGCTCCACTACATCCTCACTGTCACTGCTGCCAAAAGCACTCAAGGGTGACCCCCAGCACCCACGTGTCATTAGGGCCACCATTTCACTAACCTCACCTGCATGACACAAACAAAAGGTCACATGTCACCTCTTAGACAGTCTTTGAAATGGATAAATTGCACATGAAGATAATGAATGGTGTGGCTGTTGTCTCTCACTGGTCCATGAGGGTTTTGTTTGGAAATGATCTTCAAGACAAGATCGGCCTGTGCTGTCTTTCTGGGTCTCAGACAACCCAAGTTGTACATATAACCTGAAAGAAAGAGATGTATTCACTTATTTTTTGTCATGTTCTTGCCTATTTGTTCATATATATCCTTCCTGTTGTTGCATCCATCTATCATTCTACTTTTCTATATGACTTATATTAGTCTTTTTCTGCTAATGCTCTTATACTGTTGTACCTCTCAGACGTTTGACGTCCTGTCTGTTGCTGTCCTCTTTTTGTTGTTTCAACTCTCTTCAAGTCCCTTTTCTCCTCCTGTAATTAAAGCTTTTTCCTCATATTTTTTTTTTAACAAACTATTTAAATCATTAAGCTATACTGATTGCCATTCCTTTTTTGTTTGTAGGGTGATCTCTGTTGGTGGCATTTTTCAATCATTTATTTGAAGTTAATTTTTTTTTTCAAGAAATTTATATTTTTATTCAGTAAGGTCACATTAAATTGATCAAACGTGACACATACCTGTACACTACTAGGATAGGATGTGCTTTCGAAGCTCTCATCTTGAGCTGAACTGCACTGACTGACCTCCTCATCTCCATTAATGGTCCACTTGGATATATAATTTTCGAACGGTGGCCCCATAGCCTTCCCAACACCATCATTGCGCTCTTTTTCCATGTTCGCCCTCTTCATCACAGCATCCACCTCATCAAAGCATGGGGTGCCCAATTGGGCTGCCTCCACATTATCCAGACTCTGCTCAGCTTGCTGTAGAAGAACCTGAGACACTTTGAGGTTGAGAACAATGGAGCCAGTATGCTTTGAGATAGAGCGACTAATTGCCCGATCCTTGTCTGTATCAGTATGGTTTGAACAAGGTGCCTCAGTGAGTGGGGTATGATGGGTAGTTGGCCATTCATGCAAAGCAGTGATGTCACTATGCGAAATATCTGAGTGGAGGTCATTAGTGTCTGTGGTGGACTCCTCTTCTTCTCTGTAGATTCTTTTCAGGTGATGTTCCCGGATATCATTGTGTACTGCAGTCCTGCAGTGCTGATATACTAAGAGGAAAGAATAGGACATTCAAACTATATTAATGTATTACATTACATTAATGTTCTTACCAGACACTTTCTCACAAAAGCGATCATTTTCTATGCTCTAAAAGTTTCCCTAATCATGACTGGATGGAAATCTCACCAGATTTGTCTTGCTCTCTTGTCTGATTAATATCAGTATTCCATCCAGGGATGCTCTGAAGAGCTGACCATGAGTGCCATCCACTTCTCGTCTTCTCGCTTCTTATCTCCTGTTGAAGATTAGATTGCACCATTTACTCTCATGCTGGTATATATTACTCTCTATATCTGGAAAAACCTTGTACAATGTATCCTTAAAGCTGCAGTCTGTAAGTTTTGCCTCTTTGTCGCCATCTCTGTTTGAAAACCTGCAATTGCAGCTGTGTGCAGAATTATCTTCCTTGCGTGGGTTGTGCGGTGGCACGGCTCCAGCGCGGATGAATCTAATGTTTTGAGGAGTATGTGTGGCAGTCAGTCACCGCACCGGTGTGGATATTGTAATTTAATAATAATTAATAATTTATGCATTTAGCAGACGCTTTTATCCAAAGCGACTTACAGTGCATTCAGGCTATAAATTTTTTACCAGTATTGTACTTTGCACTCACAGATTCAAGCCTACGTCTTGGAATATATGACTCAAATAAGCATTTTCACCGGATATTGTCATCTGAACAAGTAAGTAACAAGTCTGCCACGTTTGTTCCGACCAAAGCATTACAATAAATTGCACTACCAATGGTGATTTAATCTAAATGAGCTCATATCACATCAAACCGTGCAAATTATTATTATTGTTATACTTTATTCTCA